CAATTGCTTCGATATTACATGTAAAGGTACTACATGTGGACCTCTCTCAGATTTGTTCATTTTGTAATATCTTTAATTCTCTAATTTTGATGATTATTTTTGGTGAAAAGTGATATTTTTGAATTCTTGTTGAAAACAGCAAGTCCCATTGCTCTGATACTATACATATTGTTCATTTTCTAATGATATCTTTATTTGAAATGTGCATTGCTAACAGCGGAGCTATCTCAGCCGACAGGCTGCTTGTTTAATTTTTTAGTCTAACATAATATTTTGTTTTCCATTTCAGCCAAAGTTTGTTCACGTTGACCCTGATAGAGAATTTTTTATCAAAGCATCCAATCCCAGAAGTGGAGAATGCGCCTCCTGATATGCCCACTGAATGGGTAAAAAATAAATCATACTTTCGTAAGTACATCTACAGTATTTTATTTCACTAAAAAATCTGCTTCCTACTGTTACAGTAGAATCACTTGAATTCTCACTGAGAAGGTAAAAAATGACATGTGGTGTCTGATGGTTACATCCATGAAGTGTTAGAGACTAAGAAACGGAGAAATTGATTGTCTCTACAGTATTTATCTAGCATCTAGGGCAATTTAGTGAAACATATCTTATTGACCTTTTACCCTTGGAATGCCAAAATCACTTTTCACATATTGCTTTCAAAATTGTTGTTGAAAAAGTAGAATTTGAAAAAATTTATATATTGATTCAAAATTAACGAAAAAATGTTACAGAAATGTTAGTAAAATGTGCAAAATGCTGAAACCAAACTTTCGGTGGAAAAAAAGTGGCAATCACAGAGTTGCATTACATATGTTAACCCCCTCCCCCCGTGGTTTCCCAGCATGCAGTGTGTTTTCTCGTTAAATTCATTTGTGCACTAACTAAAAAAAATTATTGTAAATCATTTGTGAATACAGTTTACAATTTTTTTTGTCTAACGTAACGTGTATGGAATCACAATACCTGCGAGTTAATATTTTCCATAGATGAAATGAAGAACACTGGTTTTTTTTATTCCAGGACTTGATGGTAGCAGCGCTGCCTCTGAAAGGGAAAAGATGATCTCTCGTTTCAATTCTTCAGCAAATACTAAAGTCTGGTTATTTTTGCTGTCGACGAGGTAAGAATCACAAACATTATCTGACCTAAAGCAAAAGGACATACCTATCAAAGGTCGCCTGAAGAGGGTGCTGTTCTGAGGCTATTCATCAGAATCTACAAAGTAATGTCACTTTTAAATTAAAGCGAACAAAAATTGTATTTATTGTCTTTTTCAAATTTATTCACATGTAATGAAACTGGACTTCAAAATAATTGTTTTTCAGGGCTGGTTGTCTTGGTGTGAATCTGGTGGGTGCAAACAACGTGGTCATTTTTGATGCGTCATGGAATCCATGTCATGATGCGCAGGCTGTGTGTCGTGTCTACCGATATGGACAATACAGGAAATGTAACGTTTATAGATTTGTATCTGATAACACATTAGAAAAGAAAATCTTTGATCGACAAATTTCAAAACAGGGGATGTCAGGTGAGAATAATACCATATTTTTAGCATGTGTGCATAATTGAAATGGGTTCGCCTATAAATACCACATATGCCTTCTTAGTTACACACACGCTATTGGAAATGATAGAGGTATGTTTATGGTCAAAAAAAGTCCTGTATATAATAAAATGCAATTTATTAAAAATGAGGAAATGCACTTCTAATAAAGCAAATGCTGTATATGTCTATCTTTTCTCCTCAAAGATTTCACTGTTAAATTATGTTTATTTTATACTGTATTCAGGAGTACAAAAGTTCCATCACAAATGTTATATTCCATTAACTAATTGGTAACTTTCAGCTCTACAGCCGTAATGATATCAGTGGAATGTTCATTTGCAATTGTTACAGTAGGTTATTCAGAAATACAGGAAACACTGGCTTTTTTACTGACCGATTTCAATTTTCGCTTATATTCAAACTGAATTACACTAAATTGAATCCACATCAGAATGTGAAATTAAAATAGAATTCATAGTTTTGCTGGCTAATCCATGAATTTATAAACACATTGAGTACAACAAAATATTATAATAAGGGGATTTTATCAATTTCTGTGCTACATTACATTTTGTGGTATGTAACAAGGAATTCTGTTTTTATTTTCTCCCATAGATCGAGTAATTGATGAGCTTAATCCCAACGTGAATTTAACCAAGAAAGAAGTTGAGTCGTTGCTAGAATATGACGAGAATGACATGCCATATGAAGATTTCAGTCACCATGTTGATAAATATGAAGACAGGGCACTGAAAGATATCTGTAAGAATCACAGTCGACTCTTATCAAAGGTACCCAATGCTATATTCATATTCAATGGTTTAAATGTATTGTCCCTGGGAAGTGGATCATTTTTGTGCAGTTTATGTGCAATTTATTTTTGCACAGGCTTGGTTTTCTTTTTTCTCCTCTTTTTCAGTACATTGTTTTTGTTACTGACAAGGTTTAAACTTAAATGCTTTGTGATTTCCCAGGATTCCATACACTGACCTCTGACCGTTCCAACCTCTTTCAGGAGCCATTTGCACATGAGTCACTTTTGATAGATAGAAAAGAAATGAAACTGACACGAGCCGAAAAGAAAGCTGCCAAGAAAAGTTACGAGGATGAGAAGAAAATGAGTATTAGTTATTCACGGCCGTCCTATTCATCCTACTATCCTCGATCATTGCCCTCTTCACAATCAGTTCCTGTTCCATTAGCAGCTCCAACATTCTCAAAGTAAGTAAATACAGGGTTGTCAATGAGTCAATACAAAGCACTGTAAACCCACATTTTCGTCTGAGAGGAATTTTTGAAAATTGTTGAAATTCTCAAAATTTTATAGTCATTTGGTCACAGCAATTTCCTCTAATTTGTGGAATTTGGTGAATTTAATGGTATACAGTTACTTAGTAACTGCTTATTTCCAATGAAATGAAGATTTTGACCAAACAATCTTAATACTATTTAATTCAATTTTTTTAATCACTATAAATTCTCAACTCTGTTTAATCACAAATTAACCTTGATATAAGAGAAAACCATTGAAATTTTAAATAAAGATGAATTGATAAAACATTTTGATTAAAGAAAGAAGAAATAATAACAACAGGGTACAATTATCTCCAATCTGAACTTGCATGATTTTGGGTTGCATGGGGAAAAGGTAAAATAAAAACAACAAATTTAGAAAATGTAATTTGTGCCATATTTCATCATCAACAAAATAATAATAATGCCACTTTTATGATGATTTTCTGCCTTTTAACAGTCTCTCTCACATAATACAAGAAGTTTGAGTGTATAAAAAGCAATAATAAATTTATATTTGTATTCTCCAGATTTCCTATTACACATATGCCATCTGGGAACCGCCCAGTAGCCAGTGTAAGACCCATGCAGTCAACGCCCATACCTATGCAACCATCTAGCAAACCGCCAGTTAGTGATCATGTCAGACAGAGGTTGTTGAACCTCAAACAAGCTGGCGTCACAGTGCAGAAGATTGTAACTACAACAGGTACGTCATTGCTTTGTTTTCAGAAAGGAATTAGACTATAGTACTGCTACATTAGACAATTGTCAGCCTTCTGTTGCATTTAATATTCTGTTTTAATGATTGGCAACTTGTGGCTGTGTTTAAAGTTGATTCCTATTATCATTAGCTCAAGCATACACAAATTAAAAATGAACTTTTATAAAACTTCAAATTAAACACTCACTTGGCAAGAAATGGTGCTACGAACATCATTGTAGGATGAACAAAATGGTGGATTTGATGACTCCATCAGACCAAATTATCACGTGATGGAGAACCTGCAAATTGTTCAATATTTCTAAAATTACGCATATTAGACAACTAACTAATTTAGGTCTTGCACTCGTATGACTGCACAGTGACTGGTTGGGAAAAAATCCAGAATCTGTTGAATGGTGTTGCTTGTGTCCCAGTTAATAAAACTGATTTTGAGTAATGTTGTCACAAGAGATCGCATTAGTGCTGATCTGTGCGTGACATTTTTTGTCAAAATGGGTTTCATTGATCAAATAGTTTCAAGTTGTACATTTGTCTTTTTGCCTGTGATGCATTACTAGCTAAACCATGCCTGTATTAATATTACTATATTTTTTATCATTAGCAATTTACCTCCCTGGCTGCAACACCATGACCTCAACGACGACACCAATGATCAACGCAGGGGAAACAATTAACATTATACGCACACAGAAAGGCATGTATATTCGTAACCATGAAGGTAAAATATTTGCTGTGCGGCCAGGTGCTTCAGGTAACTCTGCTGAAGATAGCAGTAGTGCATCTATGCCATTCTCTTTAACTGGGGGTAGTAAGGATAGCAGTATACCAATTGATTTGAGTAACCAACAGCAACAGAGTTTGCCTGCTGTGAATCAGCGTCCTAATATCATGGATAAAGGCAAAATCAAAATGCAGGAGGCTTCTAACAGTTCAACAACAAATACTCAACTCAAAACTGATAGTTCTATTGGTGATGGGGATCAGATACTGAAAGCAAACAAGAGTAGTCGGAGGTTTTCTCCGTATATTCTGAACACACAATCTTCGTCTTCTTCTTCTTCAAGTGACTTAGCGAAATCAATCAAGTCATTGAACAGTGACGGTAGAACAAAGACTGAAAGCAGCACGCCTTCATTATCTATTCCTCCACTAGCGACAACTGTTACATGCACTAGTTCAGATACAAGTGCCAATCACAGCAGAGTACATCATCTGAGCATTCTGATTCTGCACTGCTTAGAACTGCCAGTCAGAGTCTGCTTTTCCCAGGGTTTCCTTACCCGTCATCTATGGCATCGCCTTTCTCAATGATGAACTACCCGGGTTTAAATGTTCCATTGCCACCAGCACCACCGTTATCATATTTCCCAGTCAGTAGTCTGTCGGCACTCGCAGCTGGCTCGACCGTTGTTCAGAATCCTGTAAACCCTTTGGTTAATTCATCATCAATGCTCATGAACCCACTTCTTCACAACCCAAGTAGCTACTTACCAGGCTTGCCATATCCATCCGTTGTTGATCCTAGCGAGGTACATAGTGGAGGTACGTCATCAAAGAAATGTGCAACAAATACGCCAGTGGAAAGCCCACCCAGCAGTAAGTCATCCGCAGAAACTTCAAAACCAAACATGCCTGCTGTGCCATCGGAATCTACAATAGACAGTCAGCTGCCTGGTCTTGATGATAGCAGTAACCAAGGTTCAAGCAATAGCAGTAGATCAAGCTCGTCAAATCTTAACTTTGATGACATGGGAGATCTCTCCAACTTGATCAATTTCACGCAGTCGAACTGGCTTAGCAACAGCATGCAGTCGGTGGGAGATATTGACAGTTCACCGGGTGATAAAAACGCTGTCAATAGATCCACAGATGATAACAGCCCTACTAGTGAGGAGAAGCATGCGGCCGTTATCAACTTGCCGAGTGACTGGGACATCTAATTGTTAAAATACCCAAATAAATCACTTTGTTTTTCTTTGTGTTTTTTTTTATGAGAACATGGATAATTGTGCCACAAGAGAACTTTGTAAATACATGTATGTCAAGAAATTTATCTAAATCTAAATTATCAGGAATATTCATGCCTGTTTGAATCTAGGAAATTTGATCAATTTCATGGGGGTTGTTTCAGTTGGACATCAGAATAGTGTTTGTGAGATTTCTGCTATGCATTTTATAAGATTCACTTTTTTTTTATTACATAAATAGATTCCACGATTATTATCAGTAGCCATGTGATCATGGAAGCATGCTAAGAGTGTGTTGATATTATATTTTCAACCTGTTTTATTTGTTTTAACCCAGTTGAATTTATTTGCTCAACATGCATACACTGTATCAGTGTGTGTGTATATGTGAGGTTAAATTGTTGACACATTTTGTTTTTTGATGAATAAGTGCTTTGATATCACTGGATTACAAAAATGTCAGTTTCATCATTGTCAATATCCTAAAGTTATGTGCTTCAAGAGATCCCTCTAAACTGAAAGTGACATTAGTTTGAAGCTTTGAACAATCTTTCATGTTTTAGGTTATTTTTTTGTTCACATTGGTCTCAATTATAAAATGTAGGCATATACAAACCTCAACTGGTAGATAGTTAAAAAAAATGAAAATAAGCCGTATTCTGACAAAAATCCACTGTAAAGTAAATCTTTCATGATTCAGGTACTTCAGGTATTTTCCACTTTTGAGCACCAATGTCAACTTTTTTCATCTTTGACAACAAAAAGCTGCATCATACTTTTTGTATTTTTTCTCAAATTTTAATCAAGACCTTCAAGCTAATAGGAAATTATTTTCATTTGATTCAAAATTATCAAAAATGTAAAGAGAAAATATATAAAAATAGGCACAATGTTACACCAACATTTTGACAAGATTGTGGTACTCAATGGTTTGAGTTTTTTTTGTTCATACTTGAATGGAAATAATTTGCCATCAAAAGTTGTTGTGCTGTTGAATCATGTACTAGGGTTGTTGTATCATACTAACAACTAAATATCTGCTCTTTGGATTTATTAACATAAAGGGAATACTGTATTTTTTCCATAATAAAAAACTTAAAGTTAAAATTGCTGCTTTTAAAATATATAAGATTGTTTTCAGTTTTTTTTTCACTTGGATCATGAATATTCATGTTTCGT